GTCCTTGTCTCCCGGGGCTGGGCGGCGGGACCTTTGGCGGGGTAAATGGCGGGGGGCGGCCGAGCCGCTGGGCTGCTTCCCCGCTTCCCGCCGTGTCGGGCGGGTGAGCGCGGTGAGCCTCTCTCGCCGCAGAAGCTGAACCTGAAAGATTTCGGCAGCGGAGCCCTTCGGCGTGGTGTGGGAAAGGCGAACAAAAATAACTTTTAAACTCCTCAACCGGGCATTTCCAGGTGGGCCGCGGCTTAGGCTTGGTAGATTGCATTTCTTTGGGTCAAACCGATGCGAAACGGTCCTGGTGAAGCGCGGGTAGCGCCGGGGGCTGAGATGCTGTCGCGACAGGCGTGGAGCAGCGCTTGCGGCGGTGCACCGCTGCGCTGCGATAAACCTGTCGCCCAAACACTCAGCAAACAAAGAACAAACCTATAGATAACGCACCAGTAACTCCCTGGTATTTTATGTTAGGAGTGGTTTCCCACTTAGCAATTTCTAGAAGTCAGCGTTTCGCATTTTCAGAAAAATAAGAAACAGAATTTGTGTCCAGGTGGGCTTCACGGAGAAAGGTCGTGGAAATGCCGCTAGCTTTCAGAACTGCAGACTGCAGGAAGAAGCGAAAGAAAATTTTAAAAGGCCCCTAAGGAATGGGCAGTTCTCCTTCAGCATTGTCTTTTATTGTTTTCAGCTCTCTAATAGTCTAATTTGGCACCGGAATAGCATTTATGTCTCTTGCCTCTTTATGTGGTTCAAAGGCAGACTATAAAAAAGTAACTGTATTGATCGCTAATGATAATCTAATATAATAATTTTTTAATCTTAAAAAAAAAAATACTGAAACGGGATGTCCCAATTTATCTTCCAGGCAATGCTGTGGAGTAAGGCCATTTTTCTTTTTTAATTTAAGATAAAGCAAATACATGCATTTGCTTTTACAGGACCATAAATACACTAAGCAGTTAACAAAATACAAAAAAGCAAAAGTGTTTTAGATTTGGAGACTCCTTACCATAAATCATACTCATGCAATCCCGTTAGAGTGGTGCAGTTTATCATGTTCCTGTTCTGCCAGGAGCCTAAATCACATTATACAGAATGGATTTTTAATTTAGAAATCAACAGCAAGTCTTATAAATTGACCTGGGCAATGAATTACTTAACTGAGGAGGAGTGTTTTCAGGCTGGTTGGAGCTCTGGAACTGCCACAGCTTCATGGCACTGGCTGAGTTTATGGTAGTCTTGAGTGAGAGCAAGGTTTGACTTCCAGTATCAAGTGTGAGGTTTTTTTTATACACAGGCAAGCATTGCTGTGTGGTTAATTTTACAGCACAAGTTTTTACCATTCAGTATCTGAAAAACAAAATGAGCCCTGAGAATGTCATCATCTTCATTATGCTTCGAAGTTAATAATTTTTCTTAAATTTTTCAGCATAGAACTGAAGCTTTATAGTTAGAGGCATATTGGCTCCTGCCAACTGTCACTGTAATTTGATTTATACGTTTCAGGCGTGGGGTTGATGGATGGGATTATGTAGCTGTCCTTGCTCCCAGCACCTGCTTGTGCCTGTGTGGCACCAAAAGGATTGTTGGGATTCTCAGTCCATCACACCTCTCCCATTGCTTTCTCTCCTTAGGATGAATATAAGGAAAGTTTAGGTGGGTTTCTGAAAGACTGAACCGTTAACTGTGGCCTCCACTTACTGTTTTACATGTACGTGTGCTGTCAGCTGCCACAGATAGTACTGGGGCTGCGATTGGCTTTGGTTGATAGTGGAGAGACCGGCACACTTAATTTCAAGCACAATATGATTAAAATAGTAGAGCAGTTGGGGAGAAGACAAGATGACCAGTCCCATAACTGACAGCAAGCTCAGACCCACACCATATGGGCATGAAAGAATAGATGAGGGTTTGAGTCAGGAGTCTTGGAGGCTAGACATGCTTCCGTTGCTGTGGAAAAATTGGCTGCTTCTTAAAATGTCTTGCACTTGTCACTGATAGTCTGAGCATTCCTCATTTTTATAAGGAAATGTTGAACAGGTGACTTAAAACGATCAAACTGCTGGTGGTTCAGTCTGTTTAATCCTGCACTGGAGGGGACTTGGGGCGTCATTGCCACCTTCTGCCTGTGAGCTAGCCTGCAACCTGTCACTGCATTTTGCCTAGGTAAAACCCCCTTATGTTGCTGCACTGCTGTTACTGAGTGGGCTCTCAAATCTGCTGCGGTGCTGGGAGTGCTGTTACGAGCCATGCAGGTGGACTGGCACCGCTCAATGTTCGCTCAGGAGTCTGAAACTGGCACCAGTCTCAGCCGTGAGTCAGCCAAGTCAGTGCCTGCTTTTAGGAATCTCCTATCCCTTTTATTCTTTTGGTTTAAATTAGTATTTTTTACTTCGTCCAGGAAGGGGAAGGGAGGAGCTGCTCTTGCATGCTTTAGCATGGCTGGAATATGGTGTGAGATGGTACCGCTGTAGGGATTCATTGCTGCCATTTGCTGGATACAGTTTCCCACATAGCCCATCAGACAGGCTCAGCGTTCACTAGCTCCTCAACTGTGTTGCATTTTTAGTTGGCATTAACATAATCTTAAAGATTTGTGCGAATAGTACATGGAGAATGCCTTTCTAAATGTAGTCTGTCTTTGAAAATTCTCATATATTTGAATTAATTTTTAAAGACGGTGATCATTTATATTTATACAATCCTTAATGGTTTTTGTGGTTCAAATTACTTGATGACTGATAGGATTGAGTATTTATTATGCCAAATTAAGTATTTTTAGGGTTATAAGGGGGAATACGGGTCTAAGAGCAGAAAGAAAGAAGGAGGAATTAGAGAGTGGAGGAAGGCAGACTGAGACATATCAGGCATTGATGTGGGTTCAGTGATTTGTGATTGGAGAATACAAGACTTGTATCCTGTGATTTTGAAGTACATGGGCAGGTTGATTTTCTAAAGAGCTTTTACAGTACATACCAAAGGTTAAGTATACATTATAGTAGCTTGAAAACACTGAGACATGCTTGAAAACACTTGGTGGGATTGTTCTCCAATAGATCAGAATAAACAGAAAAATTGTAGTGGTTCATGGTCTCCTGCAAACAGTTTTTTCTTTTAAAAGAGATAAAAACATTTGCTGGACCTAAATTCATTCCGAGAAATAACTGGTAGTCAAGGCCTCATCCTAGCTATCACTCTTTAAAAGTATGGAAAACAGTGGTATTTTATAGCAGCATCTTCTAAAAGTCATGGGCCAAGTTCCTATTGTTAATCGTGCTGTGTGATTGTATTACAAAAAGCAGTTCTTGGAATTAATTAGTATTAGTCACATGCTTACTTTTAAGCACTTAACATTAATATTTTTAAGAATAGGGAGTTTAGCAAAGGATAGATGTTTCTTTTGAATCTGAATATTGTGTTAGTCAAATAAGTGGGTAGTTTTTGTTTTGTCATGTTAATTTCTTCAAGTGAAGCTATTAATAAAATCTGATTTTTAAAAGTGAAACATCTTCAAATGCAAATATTACATGTGCAAATTATATATGAATATAGTAGTTCAGTAAGGAAATGGAGTGTTAAGTGACTGCATGAGGATCTGTCATTGTTTCCTGTTCTGAAGCAAGTATTCTATTTAAGCTTAATGTTAAACTTCAAACTGTTTTTGTCACAAATGTCCTGTTTTGCCTTAAAATGCTTTTGCATCTCCCAATGGCCGGGATCTTTGTGTTCGCACATTTATTTTCAAGATTAAATACTCCTTTCTTTCTCAGATAGCATTTCTGTCTGATCTTGTATAACAAGACTAACTACTTATGCGTGTTATACTTTTAGCAAGTATGTGGAGGGTTCTTTTTTGAAAAACACTGATTCAAAGATTGTCATTGTTTTTGAAATTATTCAAAGTTATTTTTGAAAGCATTCTAGACTTTATCTTGGAAAACCCATACTTCCAGACCTGTTGCTATTTATGTTTGTGTCACATCCAGTTATATCAGACACGCTGGATTACATTGTATAATGAAAGCTGTATTGATGTACTCTAATCTTTATCTCTTTATATCCAATCTCCTTTGAATTGCACATGAGTATTCCTTTTGGTTACTTAAAATAACCACTGCTTTTGTTTCAAGGGCAGTGCTGTATATGATGAACACTTAACACTCAGCCCAGCTTTGGCAGCAGCTACACATCCTGTATCTTTGGTTCTTGCATGATTTAATTTGGAAGCTGCAAATTTAAATGAAAAATTTAAAAAAATAATGTTAAATGTCATGTTTGAAAAATCTGAAGCTTGTGAAAACATACATGTCCAGAAAAATTTAATATATTTACCTGGGGCACTGTGCTCTTCTGAGAGATTTGGAATGTATGCTCTCCTCCTCACAAAGTGGGTCATGTACTCTTAGTCAAAAAGGAAGGGGACAAACAATAGGAAAAAAAGAAGTGCATGTGGTAAAGCTGACCTGAACTGACTTTGGTTTTGACATCACTGCTAGAGTCATTCATAGCCTTTAAGAGACTTCTGACCTCGTTTGCTAGCGGGAACAAAGGAGGAATTTCTGCTGACTTTGGGAGACTTGCATATATATATATATATATATATATATATCAGTTGTACTTATTTTGTTATGTTGACTGCCTATGATATTACTGTGGGAGAAACACTTGATAATGTTATTAGCTGCAAAATTCAAGTTAATACAGCATTTAGAGAATTCTGCTAGGGGATTCTGCATCAGTTTCCTCTTTTCCAGGGCACCCTGAATTTTAGCTGTTGAACACATATGCTGTTGCAGCACTTTTATACATGACTTCATAAAATGAAGTGAAACAGAATTCAACTTTATTTTTACAAAGACATAGCAACTATATATGGAGTCTTAATGTGGCCCTGTGGGACTAAGCTTTCCTAATCAGCCTCTCCTCCATCTACCCCATCATTCTTGTCCCTGCTGTCTTCCCTGGCCTTAGTCTCCTCCTCATCATCATTGGTGGTTAGTTCTTATACTCAGCCTTGCTCCAGACTTTCTTCTGAGCTCCAGCCCTGACTAAAAATGGGTGAATTCCTCTGTGTCGATGTCCTTTATTATGCATTAATGCAAAACAGATCTTTTGAATTTTCTCTGCCAGGTTGTTGTTATTCTTGCCCTAATGTTTTGAGGATAATTGTCTGTCACAACCCTGGGCACCAGAAAGCCTTCCCTCTTAATTTAGAGATGAATGCGATGAATTTTATTACTTTGGGAAGATTTCCAGGAACAAAATCATCCCCTCAGTCTGGGATGCTAGACAAATCTTTAGAGTGGAGCTTCAATCAGGAAGTTCACTGTTGCAGGTAGACATAACTGTTGTGCACCATTTAGAGATGTCAGTAAAACAGGACAGCTGTCACATGTGTGGGTTTTTTTCTCAGCGTGCCCAGTATCTCTGTTGTTTCTCTCCCATCTTCCATTTTCTTATCACCATTCCTTCAAGTGGAGGTTACAGTCCTCTCAGGTCTGCTGGCATTACAACTGTAGTTTTTTTCCTGTAGTTTTGCAGTTCTGCCGACAAGTCTCCTAATAGTTTAATAAATGAGATGATGTTGATGCAACTTTGCTAGGCAGTGACATATATACAGTTGTGCTTACTCACGTGAGGAAAGAGGTAACAACATGGGGAGGAGACCAGTGATTTCTTATCCCACCTCAGCTGCGGCCAGAACTGTCTGGATTTTCTGAAATTTCAGAATTTAGGAAACCCTGATGTGGTTGCATTGATGAACAGTGGTGGTGGGGAATAGGAAAGACTAGATGGGTTTGTTTTCATAATGTTTAACTGTAACTTGGCTCTGAATGCATCTTTCTCAGTTCCCACCCCACTCCAGATAAATATCCTTTTGTTGCCTTATCACTATCTGCTTTGTTCCCCTGAAGGAACCGCAATCTCCTCCATTCTTCCCTGAGAATCTGTGTCAGGGTGAATGAGAGTCATGAATGAGGCAGCCAAGGTAACAGCTACTCAAGAACTTGTGTACTTGTGGAAAACCTGATTTTTAAAATCTGAAAAATCCATTAAGAGATGGAAGAAGCCTGAGTTTATTAAAAGCAGAGTTGGTAGCCTTTCCTGTGGTTAATGATTGCTAGTACTGTTTGTGAGAGTTTTCAGTTGCTTGTAACCACCCAACTTCAGCTTCTTAGGCTAAGGTTGCTCTTGGCAATTGTCCACCTCACTGCTCTGACACTTGCAATGTGAAAATCTGGTGCTTTCTCATGTTAGAGGGAAGCAACTTTGCCAGCTGAGTTGTAGAGAAGCACCTCTACTTCCTAACTGGATGCAGTTTCATCTGAAATTTAGCAGGTCTCCCATGCAGATGTCAGGAATATGGCTTTTGCAATATGTGTTAATAATACATCCATAACTGACCGGGCAGTAGGTAAGCCTCTGCACAGTCTCACTTCACATGTAGGGGCTTAGTAGATCTGAGGTGAGTTTTCCAAAGTCTCTATCTGCATATTCTTCCACATCCCTTGGAGGTGCTCTGTTCCAAGGCTTCGAAGGCTAAACCAGCATTTCTTTGCCATTAGGTAGGAACGCAGAGCTGGAATGGACCTCCCACCATGTAACAACTATTGTGGGAAAATGGTAGTAGCTCTTCCTTTCTCCACCCCTTGCTTAAAAGGAAAAAACATACAGGAATGAATATATAAGGAAAACTACTTTTGAGTTGTTCCTCTTTTTGTTCCACAGGCTCCTGATTTGTCCTGCTGTTTTATCACCGTGTTTCTTGACCATCTGGCTCTTAGGGTGGGAAAGGAGCTGTGCAGAACCCAACCATGCAACCTGAGTCCCCCTCCATGAGTCCTGAAGCCCGTAATGGCACGTCACAGCTGCTCAGAACCTTTATGTTCATGTTCTTCAAAAGGTTTCCTGCTAGAAAGGTTCAGGAGAACTATGTACATATCATGATTTCAAAACTGGAAGTTATAAAGCAGACAATTTTTTTAAAATTTTTTTTTAAGAAAGGAGAGGTTTTACCATCATACATTTCTCCAAATTTTGAATTATTCTAAGAAAGGCAGCTGGCAAGTACTGCTCTTTTTTTTTTTTTTTTTTTTTTTCTTTGAATATGCAAGTAATTGATCCTGTTGTTTCAGAGAAGTGTAAACATTGGAAGGAATATAAAAACATTTGATTTTTGTTTTTAAAGGAACATCATATTTCATTATTTACTTACGCTTCCTACAGTTCATGAAACAGTTTGTGGAAGCTAGATAGCATTGCATATCTGGCATTTCATTTCTCATTGAATAAATTGTAAATGATGGGATATAAAGATACATTTATCATTATCATAATAATAGGGCAATGCTAGTTAATAATATGCAGACAAATATAAAGAAAAAAATACCTGGCATTAAAGATTACATTAGTATGGCTCACATGCCACTTACTTCTGCTTGTTCTTCCTTTCAATTTTGGTTAAAGTGGGATTTTCCAAAGCACAAGAATTTGTTTACCCCACTCCTTGTTCCTTCAAAATAGAGCCCATAAAATCAGACTGTGTGTTCTGTGTTGTCCCATATTTTTACTTTTGTTTTCTAATTGGGAAGAAAAATAAAAGATGGAAAGTTCCAAAATATTTTGGTTTAAATATGTGGGCTTGGGACATCTTTGATGTAACATCATAACACAGCTAGAAGGGACTCTATTGTTCTTGATGGAAAATGTAATCCATTCAGGAACCCCAGATGATGGGGGGAAAATGAGGGACCTAAACCATGACAAACTCATGATGAGTAATGACATACCATCCTGAAGCAAAACATTTAGATTCACTTGGACAGTTCAAAATATTTTGATTTTTTATTTTCCCAAAGGGACATTACATTGTTTTGGCATAACCAGCTTTTTCCTGTGGAAAAAAATCAACATTACAGAAACCACTTTTCTATTAAAAGCTATGAACAGAAAATTCTGGAGCAGCAATAGAGGGAAGCAGTCAAGCCAAAACTAAGCGCATTTGAAAATGCCCTCCCTAGAGAATCTTAGGACTGCTCCAACCTAGCAATAAGAATTTTATATGAAGGTAAGTATATTTCATAGATACCAAACATAACATGATGAAATCCATGTGGCACAACTTAGTATGTTTCAACATACTTAAAATATGATGTTTCACAGAGGCACTCAAAAACTCTGCTTAAAAAAACATAAAAGAGCTCTGATGGAAGGCTTGGGCCGTTCAGATGAAAAATCACATCTGAGATTTCACAGTTGTTTTGCTAGGACTGGGCATTTTTAAAAAAACTGAACACTGCTTTTAAAAAAAAGTCACTGTCCACCAAGCAAAGGCTTGTATGTTTGGAAACATACTTTTAGCTTTATAAAGCAAAATTAATCGTTATTTAGTAAGTTCAGTTCTAAAAAAATGGGCATCAACCTCTTTTTAACAACGACAGCAAAGTATTTGGGGAAAAATGTGAGATGCGGTACTCTTAAGGAATTTTGAAGATGTGGGTAATTAGGATAACCTGCCAGGCCATTTTATAGCCTTGTAACAGTGGCCATGAGTCACTGATTTTCCAGAACTGATGGCCATCTTAATGTCTGTTTTTCAGGGCAACTTCTGCTTTAAATGTGACAGACTTTGTCCTGGCTTCTTCTGTATCAGGACAAGCTTCATCCTGACAGTACTGGGTAGAAGACAGAGCATGTTATTTCCCATTGCCCAAGTTAATTACGTGTTTTTCTAAGTATAATAAATGGGTGATTCACCCAAGTTTAGGGGCAGAAGTGACCAACAGACCAGCCAGTGTCAAGCACTCTGATTATTTATCAGCACCTCTCAGATGATAGATGATAAGCCAGACTGAAGTGTCCCATATTGGTCAGAAGGCACTGAGACATGGGGAGTGCACAGCTTTGGGTGACATGTGCTTAAGGGACCAAGGAGCAAGAAGAGCAGAGCAACGGACCGAATCAAGAGCTCAACAGGTATTTGAAGATGACTGTTGGCACATTTGGTCAGCTAAGTTATACAATCTTTCACCTGGGTCTTGCAGGTATGTATCTTTTTTTTTGTTCTTTGTGTGTACTGTTTTCACAATGGGTTGCTAGTCCCCATGGAAGGTCTGTTAGGTGCTTTCATAATAAAAACTACAGCAATATAAACAACCCTTGCTAGTCGACATGCAGAATGGCCACTAATGACTCTGACCTTCATCACACCTCAGGGAATGCAGGGTGAGCTATTGAAGGGCCCAGGGTCATTGTAGATTTATGCTGGTAAAATCAGAAAATGCTCTGCTTCCTGCATAATGTTTCTGGGAGTGTCTGGGAAGTCAAATTAAAATGGAAGAGTGGACTTAATAGCTGAGGACTTCCCCTTGGAGCACTTGTGGCTCTTCACTAGCTCAAAGAAAACAAATTACAAATGGATCCCGTTGAGGTTTGAAAGGTATTTTAAGTCTATTAGGTTTTTTTATTCAACATCACCTGACAAACAGTGCTGTTTATTAATACATTCAGTGTGTTTCAGTATAATTTTTCTGGTCTTTCACCGCTCTTGTTGAGGTGTGGTTTTTTTTCTATAATTGTTTTGTTAGTCATTTCTGTAGGCAGCTAGGCAGCTGTTGCTGCAGTCCTTTTATTAGTGGTGGTTGGCTCCAGATTTAACAAAATGCAACTGCACCCTCTTGTGGAAGGTAGTAAGTAGATTATTTTGGTTTCTTGGTTCCACCTGGTTTGTTTTTTCTGGGCAAGTAAAATAAAAATAAATAGCAGAACTGTCCTGAGGCCACACAGCATCAAAGCTTTGTAGAGAACTTTAAAAAAATAAACTGCAACTTCGGAACATCTGAACTCAGAGGTTTGAAGACAAGCTTTTGCAGGGAAGACTTTCAAAAGCACTCTGGGAGACCTTCTTGCCCTTGGATTTTGCGGGGATCCCTATCATAATATATTCTTTAAGGGAAACAGCATTGATATGGCTGTGTGCATAGAAATGCTACATCTACAACTAAGTCTAAGGACAATAATTCAATATGAGCATCCAGCATGGACCTGAAAAATAGTTTACATTCATTCCCTGTGTGTGCAAATCCTTAAACATAGATGTTGGTCTCCCTGTATGTGCTAATGGATACTGCATGTTCTTGAAGGCAAATACTCTTGTGAAAGGAGTGTGTTAGGCTGCACATTAAAGGTTTAACTTTGAACACTTGTAAATCTTGGCATGTTGTGTTTTTTCTGTGACTCCTGTGGATTCTTTATTTAAAATAAGTGCATTTAAATTCATGAATGCATTTATACTCTGGTCTCTGAGGGGTGGTGGCAGGGGAAGCAAGAATTCCTTTATCTGGTGAAGCATGTCCAACTCCCACTCTGAAGTATATGAGCTCATACAGTAGTTCCCTTACTTAAAAAGAAAAATTGTTTACAGAAAATTAATTTTCCTGCAAAAAAGCCTCAAACATTTTATTTTCATTGTTAGTTGAAATACAAGGTGTTTTTAACTAAGATAAAATGAAGGAAATAAGATTTTTTTAAAAAAGAATGATTCATCATGTCCTGTGTAAGCAAAAAAGGTAAAAATGGCCCAAAAGTAAACTCCCATGTAAGCAGCAGCTGTTCTTTATGGGCCACAGCACTTCTTTCTTAGAGGGAAGAATTAACCCAGTGCCTGCTCTGATGTCAGTTAGAAAGCTGGAAGAATTTGTCTTGCTCTCTGCAAATGGTTAATTTAAAAAAAAAAAAAAAAAAAAAAGAGGTAACTGTTCTACAGCATTTGATCCCCTATGTAGAATTTAATGAGGTGAGTTGATTTGCATTTTTATGTCTGAGCATGTTTTTGCACTGCCAGCATGTCTCACTGGGCGGTGAAATACAACCTATCGACACCTCTGGGTGGGGTAACAGAATTAAAGATGCTGGTCTGAAAGTCACAATTAAGGAGTCCTGGTCTGATACTAACATTACCTTAATTGTGACAGGGCTTCTATGCTTTCTAAAATTCCACAGTGTTCATTATAATGTTTAAAATCTGTATTTCTATTTGATTCTCAGTTATGCTTTTGCTCTGTGCTTTAAGGGGCCCTTTGCCATCCTCAGATGGTATATGTTTCTGCAGTCAGTAATACAGCACTTTACTCCACATGAGGATACAAACCTCATTTTAACATCTCTGTTGGATATTTGCACTCATCCTGTATGCTGTACTTTGTGTATTTCTGGCAGAGCAGTGGTAAGCCTGGCACCGTGTCGGCTGACCCAGGAGGAGCAGCTATGGCTGCAGGTCTCTGGAGGGGGTGGCTCACATGGCCCAGCCATCTTTGGGCTCTGGATTATCATAAAGGGAAAGAAACACATCAAGTACTCTTGTGACTGTTGACATAATTTTGTTACATCTTTCTGCAGGGCATGCAAGTATGTACAGGTGAATGGGCAAAAAGAGTTACCCTCATAGATGGAAAAGTTGCTTCTTGGACCTCAACATGCATTGCTTTGTGCCGCCAAATGAAGGGCTCCTTTTATCATACTTCAATCACAGGAGCTTGCTCCTTCTCTAGAGCGAGTACGGATGTGAAGTTTATGCAGCTGCATTCCTCTTTCAAGTTAATTATATCACTCTAAGCGCTTCAGCTATGATCCCACACTTCCGTGTCTTGCGCTTGAACCAGCCTGCCTGTTTCCCTGGGTGCCTGCCATAGAGGTTACCTCCCTGCTGAAATCCTGGCACATTACCTAGTCCTCTGTAATCCAAGTTTCTTTCAAGCTCATGTACCCAGAATTCGCCACTGTAGCCATGCCTCATGTCTCTGCAAGATTACAGCTGATTTCCCAGTCTCCCTTGGGGAAAGGAGCATGTCCAGTCTCATTTTAAAAAAAGCTGTTGCTGAAAGCCAAGGATCTACAAGCAGATTTAACTACCTAAAATAGTTCCCATGTGGCTAGTAAATAATGAAAAGCCATTTTCAACTCCTAGTATTGATCCCCACTTTATAATCCTGAGCATCTCTATCAGATACAATCCCACATCCCTTGCACCAGCTCCTTATTGCATACTCCAAATGTAATGCCATTTCCAACCCTAGCTTTAAACAGAAGTTGACTTTAGGATGTATGGGACTTGCGAAATGCTGGAAACAAAAATCTGTCCTTTCCACCCAGCATCCATGATCCCAGTCCTAGAATAGCTACAAAACAGGGGCCTCAGTTTCTCCCAGATCATCTTAAACTCGCTGTGGCCATGGCACTGTTCACAAGCCTTCTGACCTTGAAAAATCCACAAAAAACCCCAGATCTTCATTTACATGTGACCTGAATCCTACCAAATACCCTATCCCTCCTTCCAGTTTAAACATTACCCATGGATCCCCACTTGTACTCCAATTAAGATAATTGGGTGCTCCTGGTATTAGGCTTCGTAAAACTCAACAATCAGCAAAACTCTGTTTCAGCTCATTTCTTCAGAAACCCTAATTTGAATATTAATCATTTTCTGCTGGATGCAGCCTTCCCAAATCTTGCATGCATCACTCATCCCTCCCAGCAGAAGGTCTTACCTAGTACCATGCATCTTAGAGGCACTAGCAATAATTGTGACTCACTTGTTGCAGTATTGCTGGTGAATTTTAGCTGTACTTGTCATCATGGCTGCGTCATGGGCCCAGAATCACCAACTCCTTACCTCTAAACATTGTCCTTCTCCTCATGGATGCTGCAGGATCTTGTTGAATTTCTTCATTCCTTGCGGTCATGAAAATAGGAAAACATCTGGGGGTGGTGGCTATGAACTGAGAAGGGTCAGTTCTGAGCCTAGTGTTAGGATTGAAGTAAAGATTTGGGTTTTGAAAAAGAAAGTGTGAAATTCTGTCCTTATTGTGTATTCCTACAAGAACATTAAAACTAGAATGGGGCTACTGCTGGTAGGGGACATTTCAGAGTAACAGGACAGGATAGGATGTGGGTCCTTGCAGTGAAACCTAGAGTTGCAGCTAGAGGTTCAGATGGAAAGCGCAGATCCAGAAAGGTAGCAGGGGATGGAGATGCTAGCCACAACTGCATATTAAACTCTGAGCACTGGTTAAAGCTAGGGTTAGAGTTTGGCCCTAAGTTTAAGACTGCTGGATCCAAGAAATGCACAGGGTTAAGCTGCAGACTAGCGCTGGTAGGGGTAAATAGCTCACTGTTTGGGCTGGTGTTGGAGGGGATTGGTAGGATACATGTAAATGCTGTGGTTGGGTTAAGGTTAACATTAGAGTTTGGTTCACAGGGATCTGAAGAATTTGGGAAAATTCAGGATCTTCTAAAACCTGTAGGACTTTGATGAGTAATGAAGCAAGGGTAAGCTAGATAGCTTGGTCTGTTCTGGGATAGAATAAAATGAGTCTTATATCAAGATTTTGAGTTTGGGTTCAAGTAAACAGGAACTGAAGGATTCGGTTTACTGCTGAATTCTGCAAAATGTACAGCAAAAACATGATCTGTGCTGGGAAATAATTTATGGCTCATTCAGAGTCAGGAGTTTCTGGATGATGGTGAAGTGTAAGGATTAGGACACTGAGGGCTAAAGTACTCAGTTTGCTTCAGGTTATGCATGGCAGCTGATTGTAAACCAAGGAATGATTTACACTTAGTTCTACAGTTATATTTGAGGTTAAGTACAGAGGGGCTTAATTTCTTGCTATTTTGGTACAAAAGAGTTCGTTTTCTTGGTGAACTTGATTGTGTGGACACTAAGAAGTATTAGACTAGTTTAAGATTCTTTTGGTTAGTGTTTACTTCTTTCTATATCAGCTCTGACAAGGGAGGCAGGGACCTCCCAGCTATTGTGTTTTTGGGGAAGGAGAGAAAAGATTAGGTTGGACAAAGCTGATTTTGGTGAGTTTAAAGCTAGAGCTGGTTCTGAGTGAAGATAGTTTGTGACTCCACCAATAAATAACACTTAAGTGTTCAAAGGTTTTTAGTCAGATGTCAGGTGTGATGCTAAGATCATCAAGGAAAAACAAACACACCTGTGTAAAGTGCTTGTGCAAATCAAATATTAACCAGTGTTCTCAGGGTCCCATACAGGAAATGCACCCCCCCCATGTGTGTACACACATATGCTTATTTGTATGGGTGTAAGAAAATGGAGGAATTGAAGCATCTCTGTGTGAAGGTTTTAGGAAATCAGAATACTTCAGGTCAAGGCCTAAAGACCGTGGCTACCACTCAATTAAATGCTCATTAAGTCTGGTAGTTACCATCACAGAACTCAGATAGTAGTAATTACCCATTTATTAATACATTTTCCACAGTTAATTTTAAATTAAAACACATTCACCCATCTTTCTAAGTATTGAGTTACATCTACTTTTAACACTGGTTCATGATGCACAAGAAGTATGATATATAAATAATAAATTGCACAATACACATTGTATAGAGGAATGCAGTAGCCTGTGCACTTATTCAACAAATTTCATGGCTAACGGTTTTGTATTTATAGAAAATCCTAGTGGCCCTTCAAAATTGTTGAACCAGTATTTCGAGACTAGACATTTATGAAAGTGCTTAGAGTGATTTTTTCATACTGTAATAGTACACTTTGGAGGTATATATTTGATTTCATATGAAGACCATAGATCCATTTATATATTACACTGCAGAACAGCCCTTGGTATCATTCAGATTTTTTATAAAAACTTTATTCAAAAGCTAGTAGGATTTTTTGCTTGCCTTTTTAGGGCAATGACTTACATTCACTAACAGGTGAATCCTACAGCCTAAAGCAGTATCACCGACCTCAGTGGAGCTGCTCATGAGACAAAATGTTGTTGAGGAGAGCATATCCTTTAATAAAAAGGGATGGAACTTGGAAAGTACTGGGGTGAAGTTACAGCCTTCTCTTTCCTGCAAGAGGCACTTTTGCCTTCAAATATGTATCACATGCTAAGTAGCAGACAAATGCATAAAAAACATCTTTATATGTGGAGTAAGGAGAAGCCTACTGCTGGGATAGGTGCTCTAATACTAGACTACAGGGCTTGTGGAGGGGGACAATTCAGCCTCCTCTCTGTAGTGGTTGTAGTTTTAAGCACAGCCTTTGGGAGTTACAGTGCAGGCCATCATTCCCAACATCTGCTTATTCCTTAAGGCTCCTTCCCCACTGAGCTTGCTGCCTGAGGAAGTACCGTGACAACTGCCCTGAAGCTGATTTCAGGTAGGAAGCCTGATTCAGAAATCTGTTCAGGTCTGTTGATCTCGTACAGCATTGGTACTCCTGAGAGTAGGGTTTCTTCCCTGCCTCCATCTCTGTGATTTACTTAAGTCACAGGAGCTCTCCTGTCAATTTGAATGATGCAATTAATATTACTTTTTTTTTTTTTTTTTTGCATGCCTCTGTGCCTTACAAGCTGCAATTATAAATTGTAAATATCAACTGAATGACACCCTTAAAGAGTGAATAATTTAATAAAACAGGCACTTTCAATTTTAAGAACTTACTTCAATATGAGTTTCTTACAGCAGAAGATAACTGATGAGGACAAAAATGCATGTTTTTTCAAAAGATCTCTAAAGATTTGCACAGTTTCTTTTAAAAATCCCCCAAACTTCAAGCTGAAAAAATATCTATAAATAGAATAGAATGTTCGAGGTTTTTTAAATAAATGTGCTGAATTTCTAAATACCCGGGGGGGGGCAGAGGTGGGGGGTGTCCCATTCTTTTTTAATGGAAAGTTTTAGAAACAAATATTCTGAAGCATCCTGGCTAGCTCTAACTTCAAAGTGGCCAATCTAGTTACATTACAAGTTATGGCCAATTACATTCCTAAAAAGAGAACCTACACTAGAAACAGAGCCATCCAAGGACGAGTCTGCTCTTTAATGTGGCATTAGAGTATGGATGAAGAAATGCATTAGCTGTAACATTGGCTACATGCTGAGGGCCTCACTGGACATGAAAAGAAACAATGAATGCAGGCTATACACAGAGCTGCTCCACTGTGCACCAAGACAATAACCACTATTGGACAAGCTTAAAAATAACTCTGCTACAAAGAAAAGCCTAATACTCGCCATGTTTGCACAAACCAACTCATGCCTTTTCTTGAAGCTTCTATCCTGGAAATGTTGCAGTTCTAGGAAGTTCTTGTTCCTTTGCACGTTGTTTTTCACAGCCCTTTCTCAGCACCTTGTGTCTGTCAGTCTTTTATTGCACACTGGGTATTTGTAAACTGTCTCTGTGAATGCTTACAGATTGTTGCAGTTAGTCTGTCCCTCCAAGGAGAAGTTTAGGCAGATTTTCCTTCTTTTGCCAAAGCTGACTGTTGCTCACTGGGAGGCTATTCTCTTGGGTGGGAGTTGGGACATGCATTGGGAAGCTCCTGCTAGGCAGTTTCCTGGAGGCTGCTTGCTGTGATAAACCCTCTTTTTACCACTACTGCATGGGGACTGACATTTTCATAACATTTGTAAACTTTTATAGGAAACTACTATGAGGGTTAAAAGAAAATTTAAAAATCCTTTCCATGCCGCAGACTAATTGTTGTTGGAATTGCTGGAACAAGTGGGATGAATCTGAATCGACTTTTATATTAGGCAAGTGTAAGACAAACCGGGCCTAAGTGCCAGGCCTGTACGTTGTGTATGTGTCCACCTCCCCAGTCTGTCTGACAGCCTTTTGCTACTTCCATGGTTTGCAGGAGACATCTTGTGGTCAAAAAGCAAAATCACAGAGCGTGCAGAGTATAGTCGCACTGTGAAGACTTAGAAAAATAGTAACCAGGCTTCCACTGCCACCCAAGCGTTTCGTATTCTTTTCACTGCCAGGCAATAAGGGGAGTAGAAGTTACCCATCTGTCTGAAGAGGCTTTTTGAACTAGGGCAGACTGGCTGAGCTGGGGCAGAAAGGAGCTTTGAGGCTACGGAGACAGCGTATGGGACATTGTCAGCCTTCTATGTAGGGAGGACCTACAAAATCTGCTGCAGCTTGCCTGGAGTCAGATGTTTCTTAGATGAGGTGATGGCCACGCTAACAGTGTGTCTACTTGCAGCTGCCTCTCTCTGGCATGGAGCACTGATGCAGTATATTGCAGAGCATGGGAAACAAAGCAAAGCACAAAAAATGAGAATGAATTGATATTAAACTTCAGTACTGTATTTTTTTTCTGTGACAGTGAAGGTGGACATCATTCAACCAGTCACCTAAATCTCACTTACGACTATTTGTAGAATTAGGGTGTTACCCAGCGCTTGTACCAGGTAAATACAGAGGGGGGTTCCACTGAGGGAGCCTGTTATGTAAAGGTGTCCATTTAGAAAAAAAGTGGATTATAGTACTTGCCTCAAAGAGAGTATCAGCTATGAGAAGAGATAGAGCAGATGAATGAGGAAAATAAGTGGATTGTGATGGAAGTGATGGAAGATGTGGTAACAGTAATAAAAGGATGGGTGGAATTCTAAACTTACTGCCATACCATGTTGTGCTATAAAAAACCTTGTGAGAGAGCACAGAAATAATGAGTGTCCATGCTAGGTAGCAGTAGCAAAAGGTAACTCTTAGAAGATGAGTAACAAAAGCTGACGAAGAAACCATTCAGTAGAAGCTGTGTCAGGCCAGGCAGTCTGGTAATGAGACCGTATAGTAATCATTTGTCCCCAAGCTGCTGTTATCCAAGGTGAGCAAACCTGATTCTAGCAAGTGTGCAATGAAAAAAAACCCATGACCTTCCAGACCCCATGAAGTCACAATTTATTAATAGAGCCTTGGAGAAGATGGGAATTCTATTTGGCAAAGGACTGGTCACTTGTCCTCATTAGCTATGGCACCAGTATCTTTACAAGTTCTATGCAGAAGGGTATTTCATAAAGGATTAGTGTCAGGTTAACCTAGATATTTCATTTTGGGATGTGCAAATTTTAGATTTCATAATGAAATATAAAATTAAATGAACAGTCCCTCTGGAAAAAGAAGAAAAACAAACCTCAGAATGTTTCTACAAGTGACAAAAGAGCTTTTTGCAAAATTTTGACAACTTTTCTCCCTTTGTTGAATGAAATTGCTGATAAAATTGTGACATTTTGCAAATGTGTCCATGATAATGCAAGTGAATTCTCTATTCCAACATTGTTTTCCCAACAAGCTCTATTAACCAGCTCTCACTTGTCTTTCAGACCTAAATTTTGTCTCCTTTCTTGAAAACTGAAACAATTAATACTTGGCCCAGCAGTATACAGCTGTAAGAGCTCTGCACACTGCCTCAAAAGAGAGCAGCCCTTCTGCAACAGAATGCAGACTACATATGTGGGAGCCAGTGCATCTCTGGCAAGATCTCCTGTTAGAGCGAGATAGGGGAAATG